AGCCGCGGCCGCGGCGCCGTCGCAGATGCTGTTGGTCTTGGAGAGGATGTAGAGCGTCTCGTACGTGTGGCTGTACTCCAGGTGAGCACGCAGTGACGACAGGCTCCGGAAGCGCTTGTGCTCCCCGCAGCGGGGGCAGCGGTACGGCAGGTCCAGCGAGGCCATGGCCCCGCCGCCCCCGCGGCGCCCGGGCTCCACCGCGGCCGCCCCCACCGGTTAGCCGGGCGCGCTCATGGGGGGCCGCGGGCGAGCCCCCCTGCGCGGTCAGGAAGGCTCAGGGCGCCAGCGGCCAGGGGCGAGGAGTCTGGAAGAGAGGGAGTAAGCCTTAGGAGGGTGGTCTCCCCCACGCGTGAGGAAACTGACTTCCCCAGGAAACACGCGCCCATAATGGAGGGGCGAGGGAATCCCAATGGCTTGACGTCCCAGAGGGGGCTGGCCTGCTCTGGTACCTGCGGGAGGGCCTGTACATGTACGACAGTGAGAAAGAATGAGAGTTCTTTAAGGGGGGGGGGGGGAAGGCATTCGTTATAATACTTCCAACCTATATTCCAACTAGACATAACCCAAGTGCCCATCACCAGTAGACTGGATGAATTGTGATATGTCTGTAGTGGAATTTTATCCAGCAATAGGGAAAGGAAGCACTGGGACATGCAACAACATGGATGAATCCATTCAATATTACGCTGCATAAAAGAAGCCAGAGCAGAGTGCACACTGTAGCATTCCATACATAGGGAGTCCAAGAACAGACGAAATTGGTCATGACAGAAGTCAGAATAGAGGTTACCCCCTGGAGACTATAAACTGAGAAGGGACAGGAGGGAACCTTATGTGATGCTGAAAATGTTCTAGATCTTGATATGAGTGGTGGTTATACATGTGAATACATATGTAAACAATCAAGCTATATACTTAAGGCTAGTGCACCATATGTATTTGGCTGTATGTATCTTACATCTGAAAAAAATCCTTAAAGGAAGATGCTTATTTCCAGATCATGCAAACCATACCCATCAGACAGGCTGGACTGTTGGTACCATGTTGCAGTGACTGAGTTGTCACCTCACCTGACGATACTTGTGTGCATGTCACCGTTTATTCCTGTCCTGCTTCTGTACCCTCCCATCACTGCCACTCTAGGCAGATAGGTCCTTTTTTAGAGTCCTTTGCTAGGTCGGTCTCCAAAAAGTGCCCTGCCCTGCCCTTTGTTCCAAGGGCCACCATATTTGTCCTCTTCAGGCCCATTCTAGCACAAACCACCACCCTTCCTGACATCCTACTCCCGGTCACCCTCAACTCCCACTGCCCCTCCTCCCTCATCTCTGGCTTCTGGTCACACCTCCTCTGCCTCGTGGAATCTCTACCCCATTCATCACTACCCTCCTCGTCCTAACTGCCAGCCACCCTCCGATGTCACTGTGCTCCTCTGGGTCACAGACCACCTGCTTATCAATCCAGTTGTCGTCAAGGATCTTCATCCACTTGGTCGCTTGGCTGATACTGCTGACCACTCCATCTTCCCAGGCTGCCATGAAGCCGCCCGTTTGGGTTCTCCAACCTCCTCTTCCTACTGCCTTCTGAATCTTCCTGATGAGAGGTCCACCTTCACACCCTCTTTGCATCTGCCCTCTCCCCGGCAGTCTGGTTTGCTCCCACATGTTCACTCCCAGCTTTAAGCCGTTGACTCTCAGCTCTGCCTCCCCATCCTGACCTGCTCTGGAGTTTCCTTTGCCTTCAGGCATTTCCACGTGGAGGTATGGGTGACTATTTGTTCCCTTTACCAGCCCAGCACCCAGTCCTTCTCCTGGTAAAATCACTCTGCTTTGACCTTGGAGATCCATTCTTCCTTCCCCACTTTCTCAGTCCACATGGTCTGAGTGGGGGTTGATGGTCCACCCCGGCTCCAGGGGTAAGAAAGTGATATAGATCTGGCCAAACAGAGTCCCGGGATGGGCAGAGATCGCCCAAGTTGAGTCCTTGAGGCATTCCTCCCTCCAGGACTTCTCTGAACCACTGGGGAAAAGCATCCTCTTTGGGCTCAGGTTTCTAAGCTAATGGGGAAGGCTAGAGCTGCAAGGGCTATCTTTGCCTCTTTGGGGAGGAACCTCCTGGGAATGAAGCCAACGCAGAGAAGCAGAACTGATATGGAGACAGAGATTTCTCACAGACACTGTTTGAGATCCTGGTCGGTTGGGTGAACCAATTTGTTCCCTTCATTGCTTAAGCCATTTGGAGTTGGGTCTATGGTACCTGCACTAGAAAAAAGTCCTAACCCAGAAATTAGAATAAGAAATGGACTTTTTTAAAGGACTAGACCCTAAGGAGGAATAAGCTGAACTAAGAGGGGAAGTAAGATGGTACCACCTCCCCCCTCAGAAGTTGGTGACCCCTGCTACCCAGCAGCAAAGCAGCCGATGAAACTCTCCCCCGGTCTCTGGAGCTCAGATGATGTTCCTACCTGGAACTTTAGGGGGCCTGTAGAAAAATGTCACCATGTTGGGGTGTGGCCTCTCCCATGGTCTCAGTAAGGCCCAACAAGAAAGAGACACACTCCGGCTGAAAGGGGCACCTCTGAAAGCAGAGAGGAAGAAAATGCTGCTTGGCTTAGAGAGGCGCTTTCTGCCTGAGGCCAGTAATCCAATATGGCTGAGAGTCAGATAATTAAGAGCCAGTTCTCTGCTTCTAGCTAAAAGTCAGCTCAAGCAAAGACAGGGAGGCTGGAAACACAGAGAGAGACAAACCTGGGCCCTGACAGGCTCTTGAGTCCTCAGGCCCTTCAGGAACCCCTCCTGCTATGCTAGCCCTCCCAGCTCGACAGAAGCTTTCACCAAAACAGCCTTCCACTGGGGTGCAGCTTGAGTGGGAAGGGGCAATGAACTCTGCCTCCCGCCCTAGATGAGGGGTTTGCATTGCCGTGCGGCAGAGGCCTAGCCAGAAGCAACAGAACCGTGCGCTCCTGGGATGGGCAGAGCACCAAGGGCTGTTGCTAAGAGACAACCCCTGCTCCTCCCCTAACACTATCACCAGGGACTTGATTCAAGAATTACAACTTCCAGTGAGGTCTCTAGTTTGGTTAATGGCTCTGGGGACAACTGAACGTAAATTGACTGAAAGCTTCCTAATGATTAAGGGGATTGTATTGCCAGAAAAACCAACGAACCTAGAAAACAAAGGCCAGGGATTACTCAGCTCCTAATGTTCCCCACCCCTTAAACTTGCACCAGTGGGAGGTGAGCCCCCAGTGCCCCTTTTCTGCGTGGCACAGAGCATGAAAGACAAGGGAGGCTCTTGGAAATGGCAGAACCAAAGCAGCCAAAAACAGGAGTCAGGGAACCCCGTCCTCACCAACTGGTCAAGCATGTGGACCACATATGGGTCTGTGACCACTGACTGTTTTTCCTCATCTCCCCTCTTCAGCTGGGAGGGTTTTGTACTTTCAGCTATCCGATCCTTCCTCCATCATAGTCTGGCCATAAGCTGAAAGACCATGAGGGACTGGCTCAGTACCCTGCCAAAGAGACAGCCCATCACCAAGATCTTGAATTGGGGCTGGACGTGCTAAGTGGATGAGCAGTTGGAACATCTCCTTCCGGAGATGGGACAAGTGTATTTTAAGTTTTGTGAGGGACAGTTGTGTTAGTACAAACAGAAACATTTTAAAAATTGTATAAGGAGCAGGATCTGTGTAGATCTTGTTCAGAGGTGGGAGGCAGTAGACATTTATTCTTTTTTGCTGTTCAGCTCCAGTCCCCCTTTGTGGCTAGACTCTGTTTTCCTTTGAAGAACCATTCCCCCCACTTTGGGTTGGGCTCGGACGGGAGTGTCTATAACCTTAGCCTGTTCATCAGTCACAGCGATCATTCATCCTGGGCACGTTTCCTACTCCAGGCCAAAACAGCCACTCCCAGGACCTGGGCCCAGCTGGTAGAAGGTGAGCCTGGGCCTCCTTGTGGCCATTTCTGTCCTCCTCCATGGGCCTTACTGAGACCGTGGGAGAGGCCACACCCCAACATGGTGACATTTTTCTACAGGCCCCCTAAAGAACACAAAGACTCCTGATGACCTCCCTTGAGCATCCAGATCCAGATGTGCCTGATACTTTAATCCAGGACTTGTCACTTGTGAGAGGCAGCAAATTCTTTTTGTAGCCCAAGTCGTTTGACTCGGGTGCCAGTCACTAGTATTGAAACTCTAGCCTAACACAATGACCCCCGATGTCAAAAAGCAAATCTTGGACTTCCCCTCACCCACTCCCCAGGATCCATCCCTGTTTCCTTCAATGGTGCCACTGTCCTCCCAGTCACACCACACCACCAGCCATCCTGACTTTGCTCTCTGCTCACCATCAAGACCTGTTGATTTTTTTCTTCAGCGGTTCTCTTCTCCTGCTCTGTGCTCTTCCTCACAACCAGACAGCTGGCCCAGGCTTCAGCTCGGGGCCCTCTTCTGTCCCCTATTAGGCACCAGACTCCTCTGTCTACAGACAACTCCTGTTCATGCTCTTTCAGTGGCTCTCAGCATCTACCAACTGCAGCCAAACTCAGCTTCACCTTTGGCCTCACTGTACTCTTGCCAAGTTGAGAGTAAAAAGTGTCCTGGCTGTTTTACTGGCCTTTCTCTGATTACTATAGCTGGATATATTTTTTACACATTTAGCAGTCGTTTACATTTCTTTGGTGACTTTGCCTATGCACTATTTTGCTCATTTTTATACTGAACATTCATATTTTCTTATTGACTTTCAAAGGCTTTTCCTAATATTGATCCCTTGTCCTCTATATACTACAAATGGTTTTCTCCAGTGTGTTGATTGCCTTGTTTATGGTCTTTACTGGTATAATAAAGCTGATAATTTGCTTCAGTAAAAATCTTTAGGATTTCTGATTTTGTTATCATGCTTAGTAAGTCCAGCCCTACCTGAAGACTATATAAACGGTTATATATGTATTCTTTTTGTACCTTGCAATTACCTTTTTTAAAAAGTCTAGAACAATTTTTTAAATTAAGGGCCTTAAACAAATAACCATAACACCATAAAGTGACAGTGACTTGGTAGCATGCAAATACTTCAAGCTGTATGGTTTCCTTTTATACGGTGGAGTTTTAAAATCCAAAAATTTTTGGTATGCATGCAGACAAGGATTTAAAAAACATAACTTTTT